GTGTGGGTGGTTCAGTGATTTTATGATGGCAACGGTTGACAGAAATTTCAAGTGGTGACAATGTAAGATAAGTAAGCAGTAATAAATGAAGCCAACGTATTGCCTGTGATGCCAATTGAGGTTGCTGTTGTTGTTGTTGTCACTGAAACTGTGACATTTCGGTAGGACTTTTATGGTTATGTGGACGATTTTCCGCGGCGCGCCATTTTTGAATAGGCTACCTCAACGAAATGTTTTGTGAGTCATTTTCTTGAAAATGTCGATTGGAACGGCAAAGGTATTAAACACAGTCAATCAGGTTGATGAGGGGAGGGGGTGGTGGCATGGTGATGTTCGGGATTCCCCTGCTGTGCTGTGCTAAGCACTGATCATGTACGGAATTGGAAAAGTAAAAACAAATTTAATATTCCTTTGCTAGGATCATGGCAGCATGGTCGATGTCCACAGTATTAGGTAGGGGTGTCCAAATGATGCTATCAAAGTGTCTCATGCGCAGAAACGTAGGCACGGCAATGCTGGATGAAAGCCCGCCCTCTTCGTCTTAGGGGCGGGACCAACCTCGCACACTTATTGGCTACTCTGGTTTTGTCTTTATTCATTTTCATGCTGACAAAAACTGATTTACCATTTGGATTATGCAGTATTCGACAACAAAAGCGTAGCCGTTGATGGAATTCGTAAGGAGCTGAAAAAATCTGTTTTAATTTTTTATTTTGCCCTTTACTCTCGAGCGGTATAGGACTTGTACATACATAACAGTGCATACAAAGTAACATACAAGAGGAATCACTCACAATAAAGACTTATGGTATTCACACGTAAACATGTACGAAAGTAGTCATCGTAAGGAAAACCTTTAACTAAGGTTCTGCAACGTTTATACAGTTTAAGTGCTACTGTAGTGGGAGAGAGGAGAGGTGGATAGTCGCCGCCGTAGGCGCGGGATGTCTGTGCCTTCTCAGCGATACAGTGTTATACATAGTAGTGCGAGTTGAGGAATCTGTGAAGCAGGTAAATGTAGGCGGTCCAGGGGTTGGGGAGTGGGGTAAGTTACTTTAAATGTGCAAAAAAGTTGTAATGTACACTAGCCCCTCCCCAACTACAGCAGCACCGAATCCTATTGCTAATAAGTCTTAGCCCGTACTGCAGGAGGTGCTCGCGTTGTATCTGCCATCACTGTTACCACAAGCATAGTTGATCTAGAATTTTTCTCATTCAAATTTTTATTTCTTTTGAATAAAATGTAATATCCTTTAAATCTTTCAAATATCTTAATAATATCCTTTAGTATGGTGAAACGTTTACTTCGATGAAAACTTTTGCGAGATTTGACCTCCACAACACCTCCACAGACTCCGACGTAGTTTCGATGACGTGAGTAGCAAGGCCCATGGCGTGCACGAATACATCAAATCTATGACTGGGTAGCTGAAAATGTCTTTTGAGCGAAAATTGAAATCATGAAATAAACTTGAGCTGGTTGGGAGCAAATTGATTGGATTAAGTCCAAACAGCCGTAGAGCGTTTCGTGTATGTAGCGATGTGTCCAAAATGCCTGCGATTGGTGGATGACCACCCCCGCCAATTACAGCCAGATATTTGCCGCGTTATGTAGCTTCGATCGATTGACCTTGGACGGTCAGATTGAAAACTATGGGAGAGTGCCTGTGTTATAGTGTGAATAGTTTATGAATACTTACGAGAGGTCATGGACGAACATCACGCTGTTGAGCTTGTTCCGGAACACGATGGTCAACACTTGGAGAAGTGTGTTTGGAGTAAGAACCAGAAAAAGCACCAAAGCTGATAATAGCAAGCGGTTGTCCACTGAGCCCGATTTAGCTGTGCTCCCCTGAACGGCGTAAAATGGATATGAATTCAGAATTATTAGCTGAGAGGGTGCCACTCTGCAAAACTACAGTGCGTACCAAAAGTATGTGGACACCCTGGAATCGATTCTCAGGGGTCAGCTAAAGGCTTTTATGTCATGAAACCTCCACCATTCAACTCCTAGTGGTCGATAACCTACAATGATATTTTCGGCAAAAGATTTCGTTCTAACTTAGCGAACTATTTTTCATGGAAAGTTTTTTCTTTGTATCAAAATTATGTGGACACCCTGAGGCAGATGAAGTTTTTGCATCGATTTCCTAACCTATTTTTACTTCTCCTTTCGTTACTTATTCTGGCATCATTCCTCTTCACGGCAAGCGTTT